AAGTCCTAAAATATAATTTTCGTGGGAATGATATCCGGATTCAAATGCTCACTATACTGCTTGTTACGATATCGTAAACGCAACATCGCTCAAACTAGGTGTTAATCTAATCTATGAAATAATATGCGTGGATTACTTGAAAATTTGTGAATATGGAATTGTGACTTTTGCTACATTTAATATATGAATAATACACGATTCTCCACTATTATTAACTTATGCTTTATTGGTTAGTGTTATTTTATGGAACCATATCTTAATTAAATAAAGAGAAGAACGCCAACTACATGGATTAAGAAAATATTAAGAGCATACTAACGCTAATTGAGATTTTAAAATATAGAATTTAATTAAGATATGGTTCCATCATAAGTAAACTATATTTAGGTTGATGTAGAATATTGTTACCTTTTAATGAGATTGGACTTCAAGGAGAAAAGGATAATTTATGTTTATGGCTTTAGCACAAAACGTGTTAAGCAATAAAATCTCACATCGAATAAAGATAAAAATATAAACCAAATTATAAGGGTTTGGACTATTCCTCTTAATAAGGTTGATCTTTTAAGATGGAATATCAAATCTTAACATGATATTAGAGCTCATTAAATTCCAATGAGCAATTTGATCCGATTAATACTCAAATAAAATTAAGCACACGGATTTCAAGATTGGTCTGTTCAAACGAGTTACCATCTTGCGAGGACGTGTTAATGGATAAAATTTCACATCAAATAAAGATGAAAATATAAAAAAATTTATAAAAGTTTGGACTATTATTCTTAATAAGGTTGATATTTTAATATGGAACCTCAAATCTTAACAAAACGTTCCACGTTTCAATTTTTTGCATGTTCACCCTTATTTCAATGTTTTATTTTGGAAAATGTCGTTCTGTCAATTTGCTATGAGTTTCCTCTTTAAATGCACACATGAACTCACTTTTAATTTGAGAATCGAAAGGTAAAATGGTTATACCAATTTAAGAAACTCTTCTTTAACATAACATACTCGTGCACACCAATTTCTCTTCACCTTCTCGTCTATTTACGTCTCTCACACCCGTTCCCTACATCTCCTTCTCCTATCATCTAAGATTTCTCATCTCGTAGTAGCTACTATCTGTACACAGTGGAGGGCGAAGTGGGAGAAGGTATTTTTTCGTTGTAGGTCCGTATTTTTCTTGTTTTACTGTTCGAAATTTGAGGGTTTGAGTGATTGAGGCTTGCTTGCCATTGTTTATGGAAGTTATTGTTGTTTTTCACATGATTTTGAGTTGAAGCAAAATACTTCTTCTGTTTATTAAAGAGCCCGGCGACGAGCCACCCATATATGGTATGAAAATGGTCATTCATGATCACTGATTTTCCTTCGTTAATTTTGTTGCTATGTGGAATTAAAGACTGGAACTTTATTGAAATGGGAAATGGAAAAAGTATCTCAACATTGTGTCGGAAATTTTTGACAATTTGTAGGTTTTCATCAAATATTACTTGAAGTTGTTTCGGAGTTGAAATGTCTATGGTTTTTGTAGGGTTTTGAGCATTATATGATATGCAGTCCTTTTTCCTCTAATTGATCATTGTACGTTTCTTCATTTCCATACCATCTTTTACTATCCATTCCCTCACATCCACATTCTTTTGCATGCAGGTACCAATTCAGGCTACTTCATTCTTAAAGCACGCCACGGAGGCCACTTTTACGATAAGCCAAACAATCTGATATACGAACATGAATTCGTGCTTTTATTTTATTGCTTCCATGCCACATTGTTTAATAGAGGTAATTTGATGAAGTTCTTAAATGTGGTTGGTAATGATTTAATGTTGGAGTTTTTTACTACAAAAGGCAAAAAATGAGTTTAGGAAAGGGGTTGACTAGATTGGAGAGTGAAAAAGATTTTAAGAAAATGCTTAGAGACATGAATGGGTAAACAATAGTGCAGATATATGTCGTAGCCCCATTGTAATTGCATACATTACCATTGTATGCATCAAGATTCGAAGTTGATTAAAATCTGAATTTTAATTTTTACCATAT